GAGGACACAACCTCTTCCTCAGAAGAAGTGCAGACTCCTGTAGTGTTGGCTCTGAGGAAGAGGTTGTGTCCTCGAAGCAAGTTGGTCATCCAGGGTTCCATCGTATGGACTCAGATGTTGTTTGGATCATACATATTGTTCAGTTTGACATGCCTGTGTTAATTTGTCCATTGTGAGTATGATACCTAATTTGTTTCTTCAATAAATTATTTTAAACGATAATGCACTAGGTCGGTGCGCCCTTTTTCTGTTTCTTCATTTGTATCCAGTGCATTTGGACCACCCCGGTCTGTTGAGGGCAGCGAGCATATTCCAGAAAATTCCAGAACATTCCTATTGGGTCTACTGAGTCCTTTCCTAGGGCAGGAGTAAAGTGTTTGTTGTGTTAGTGGCCATACTACAGGAGATGGTCAGAGACTTCAGACATACTACATGAGATGGTCAGCGACTGTAGACATACTAGAGGAGACGGTCAGAGACTGCAGGTATGGTATAGGAGACAGTCAGAGACTGCAGACATACTACAGGAGATGGTCAGAGACTGCAGACATACTACAGCAGATGGTCAGAGACTGCAGACATAGTACAAGAGATGGTCAGAGATTACGGACATACTACAGGAGATGGTCAGAGACTGTGGACATGATGCAGGACATGGTCAGAGACTGGACAGGATACAGAAGACGGTCAGTATCCTATTGATGTATTGAAGGAGCAAAAAAAAATGCCTCTGTGAGGACCCATCAGATGCCAGTTTTGTGAAATATATAGAAAACCTCTGTTTTTCACTGCGGGGCCCGCCCCTACAATCGAGCCAAGCCCACCCACTCTCACCTGACCATAGCCGAACCCGACACCTACCTGAGCACAGATAAACCTTCCCCCCAGCCTGAGCACAGAGGAGCCGCCCACCCGATCACAGACCAAACCCCCCGCCCGAGCCAAGCTGCACCTGCCCACACCCAATACACGGGGGCAGCGCTGCCGCATGGAGCGCGGGAGGACGGGATCATGCCGTGCACATGAGGACAATGAGAGGGGGGGAAGGAGGGAGCCTGCATGTGGATTCCCACAGCAGGGGGACTGACTGTCTAGTGCTCGGCCAGTGGAACAGGATGCTCCCTTGGCAGGGGGCCAGATTGCCAGAAACAGAAGAGTGAGGGGCTGCTGGGGGTGGGGGTGTGGCAGGCAGCAGAAAAGCTCTGTGACAAAGCCCAAGACTATTGGAGATTCCACCCATGTCAGAACACATTGTCAGAACACATTGATCAGTGCTGCAAATGATTGGCTGGAGCTACTGATCATATAAAAGCTTTCCAACAGTCCAATCCAAGACAATTTAATCTACCAATCAACTTTTGGTGAGCAGGAAAGGCCACACACAGATCGAAAGTTGTCCAGTCCCTGCTGACCTGGCCGAATTTTGATCCATGTGCACCCAGTATTTCTGGACAGTCATATATTGTCTTTGTCCCCACACAGGCTGAGCTACACTTCTAAATTTCTGACCCTTTGTTAGGACAGACAGTGTTCAAATCTAATCCAACTGATAATGAAGAACTGTGAACACAGTACAGACAGGGTTCATTATGGTAAACATTACTCCATAGCCCCATATCTAAACATCACAAAGCAGGGAAACGTAAAGTTTGTTAGGTAGGTAAATCTTTAAAGTGGTTGTAAAGGCTGAAGGTCTTTTACCTTCATGCGTTCTATGCAAGAAGGTAAAAAAAACCTTCTGTGTGCAGCAGCGCCCCCAACGCCCTCAATGCTTACCTGAGCCCCATCCCGATCCAACGATATGCACAACAGACTCTGCTCTCCCGGGTCTCTGCCCTCTTTATTGGCTGAGACAGCACGCAGGAGCCATTGGCTCCTGCTGCTGTCAATCACAGTCAGCCAGCCAATGAGGATAAAAACTGGGTGGGGTCAAGCTGCGGCTCCGTGTGTGAATGGACACACGGAGTAGCGGGTGCGCCCATAGCAAGCTGCTTGCTATGAGGGCACCTGACAGAAAGGAGCAGCCAGGGGAGCTTGTGGGGGACCCGAGAAGAGAAGTATCCGGGCTGCTCTGTGCAAAACCACTGCACACAGCAGGTAAGTATAGACATGTTTGTTATTTTACAAAAAAAAAAAAAAAGAACCTTTAGTATCATTTTAAATATATTTTTAAGTTACAAATATATAGTTGGTGTTATCTCAGTTTGGCTGCAAAAGTGGAAATACACTTTAGGACCTACTTCTGAATCAGTGCAGCAATAAATAAATTCCCAGTAATAGAGGGCCCCTAGGATTGAGAGCCCGTGAGTGAGACGACCTCCATTGACACCCGGAGAGGCGAGCAGCAGCGGAAGCAGCATTACCGGTGGTGGTGCCTCCCAGAGCATCGACTCCTCCAACCTCCCAGCTTGCGGCTGCAACAGTAACAGTAACGACCGCCTGGAGGACAGGCTGACCAGGGGCCCGGAGGACAAGGACAGCGGTAGAGCAGACCACCAGAGACTGCAGATCAGAGTAAGGAGCAGATCGCTCCATCGCTCCAGAATGAGAGAACTGACCCTGCTCACTGCTGTCATGCCAGGTACAAGGTCTTACACACACCTACCCGCAGAAGGGGACTGGGACAGGGAGGCACAGGAGGAACTACAGACAGGGCTAGGGTTCTCTCAATAATCCTCCCCCTTTTTTTCCCACCCCCCCTCACCCCCCACCCCTCTCTCTCACCCCCCCCCCCTCACCCCTCTCTCACCCTCCCCCCTCTCTCTCACTCCCCCCTCTCTCTCATCTCACCTTCTCCACCCCTCTATCTCCCTCACCCCCCCCCCTCTCTCACCCACTGAGGAGAACACACAGGGACAGAGCCGTACCGCACCTGCTGAGGAGAACACACAGGGACAGAACCATACCGCACCTGCTGAGGAGAACACACAGGGACAGAACCATACTGCACCCACTGAGGAGAACACACAGGGACAGAACCAAACCGCACCCACTGAGGAGAACACACAGGGACAGAACCGTACCGCACTCGCTGAGGAGAACACACAGGGACAGAGCCGTACCGCACCCGCTGAGGAGAACACACAGGGACAGAACCAAACTGCACTCGCTGAGGAGAACACACAGGGACAGAGCTGTACCGCACCCGCTGAGGAGAACACACAGGGACAGAGCCATACCGCACCCGCTGAGGAGAACACACAGGGGACAGAGCTGTACCGCACCCGCTGAGGAGACACACAGGGACAGAGCCGTACCGCACCCGCTGAGGAGAACACAGAGGGACAGAGCCAAACCGCACCCGCTGAGGAGAACACAGAGGGACAGAACCATACCGCACCCGCTGAGGAGAACACACAGGGACAGAGCCATACCGCGCTCGCTGAGGAGACACACAGGGACAGAACCATACCGCACTCGCTGAGGAGACACACAGGGACAGAACCATACCGCACTCGCTGAGGAGACACACAGGGACAGAGCCATACAGCACCCGCTGAGGAGACACACAGGGACAGAGCCGTACCGCACCCGCTGAGGAGAACACAGAGGGACAGAGCCAAACCGCACCCGCTGAGGAGAACACACAGGGACAGAGCCATACAGCACCCGCTGAGGAGACACACAGGGACAGAACCATACCGGACTCGCTGAGGAGACACACAGGGACAGAGCCGTACCGCACCCGCTGAGGAGAACCCACAGGGACAGAACAAAACCGCACTCGCTGAGGAGAACACACAGGGACAGAGCTGTACCGCACCCGCTGAGGAGAACACACAGGGACAGAGCCATACCGCACCCGCTGAGGAGAACACACAGGGACAGAGCCATACCGCACCCGCTGAGGAGAACACACAGGGACAGAGCTGTACCGCACCCGCTGAGGAGACACACAGGGACAGAGCTGTACCGCACCCGCTGAGGAGACACACAGGGACAGAGCCATACCTCACTCACTGAGGAGACACACAGGGACAGAGCCATACCGCACCCGCTGAGGAGAACACACAGGGACAGAGCCAAGCCGCACCCGCTGAGGAGAACACACAGGGACAGAGCCATACAGCACCCGCTGAGGAGACACACAGGGACAGAGCCATACAGCACCCGCTGAGGAGACACACAGGGACAGAACCATACCGCACTCGCTGAGGAGACACACAGGGACAGAGCCATACAGCACCCGCTGAGGAGAACACACAGGGACAGAGCCGTACCACACCCGCTGAGGAGACACACAGGGACAGAGCCGTACAGCACCCGCTGAGGAGACACACAGGGACAGAGCCGTACCGCACCCGCTGAGGAGACACACAGGGACAGAGCCGTACCGCACCCGCTGAGGAGAACACACAGGGACAAAGCCATACCGCACCTGCTGAGGAGAACACACAGGGAGGATTCCCCCAGATATTCCTGTCACTCATTGTATGCCGCCTCCCTCCAACATAAGACCTCCTCCTGATGAATTCCTCTCAGCCAGAGCCCGCCCTTTTCTCAGCCAGAGCCCGCCCTCTTCTCAGCAGGCAGGAAAGAAAATTATATCACTCTGCCAGCAGCAGGGAGTGTGAGTCGGTCATTTATGAGTCAATAGCGCACCGGCTGCTGTGTGAGTCCGTCTGTGCCGAAAAAAGAAAAAAAAAAAAGTCCCTTTATCTTACAGTCTCCCGGGCCCCACTGGATGAAACTGATGGCCCCCCAGCCCAGGGAATAGGATTTATTACTTGGGAGCCCCAGGGGAACAATAGGTGTTCACATTATTTATGCCCATGTGTACTACATTATGAGGCTGGACGCTGCTGCTGGCGGGCCCCCTTGTTAAAGTGAGGAGGTTGGGCCCCTACAGGAGGCCCGGATGTACCCCCTTATCAACGGCCCTGGTTACACAAGCAGTGGCTGTAAGCATCTAAGTGTATGGTCAAAGTCCAAATCTATCGGAAAGCCAATTGCCTAGCATTGCTGCAGGGAAAAGTAAGCAGATCTCCATAAACCATGAGATGATATACATTTTTGTTTTTCACTACAGATGGGGAACTTGGACTACTATAAAGTGGTGCCCCTCAGGGCGTATCATACAATTTGCTCTGCAAGTTGAACAGCCCCTTCCTGGTAACGGTGACGATACTGCAGCCAACAATATCAGGTTCCGATGCTCCGATAACACTGTCCTGATAGGTATTGGAGGACCATGGGGAACATGGGGACTGTGGAGTGCAATCTGCGTAAATGGAATTGTTGGCATCAAAACCAGAGTGGAGCCTCCCCAAGGACCTGGAGATGACACGTCCCTGAATAACGTCATATTTCTATGCTTGTAAAATCAGGATCACAATTATAACAAAAAAAAAGAAGAATGTTAAGATTGCTTTTGAAATAAAATGATGAATGTGATTGTGTTTAATTACAAAAAAATCTGTTTTAATTAAATGATACTATAATAAAGAAATCAGATGCGATGGCCAATGCGTTGTGTTTAATATAAACAATACCAGAAAGCCTAAAACAAACCTAAAGTATATCTTATCAATAAAAAAAACAGTGTATTCAGAGAGCAACTTTACTGGTTTCGGGTTCTTAGTCACCTTCTTTTATTTGTAAGTCTATATTTTTTACAGTAGAAACAGTCTCTACCCCCCCTTGAAATGTCCCCCATGTTGTCATGTTACAACGTTTTTTATTGGGATTGGATGTTATAGACCAACACAATGTGGCACATAATTGTGAAGTGGAAGGAAAATGAGAAATGGTTTTCAACATTTGTGACCAATAAATCTGTAAAAAGTGTGGCGACATTTGTATTCAGCCCCCCGGAGTCAATACTTTGTAGGACCCCCTTTCCCTGCAATTCCAGCTGCAATTCTTTTTGGGGATGTCTCTCCCAGCTTTGCACATCTAGAGAGGGATATTTCTGCCCATTCTTCTTTGCAGAATTGCTCAAGCTCTGTCAGATTGGATGGACAGCATCTGGGAACAGCAATTTTCAAGTCTTGCCGCAGATTCTCCATTGGATTTAGGTCTGAACTGTGACTGGGCCATTCTAACACATGAATATGCTTTGATCTAAACCATTCCATTGTAGCTCTGGCTGGATGTTTCGGGTCGTTGTCCTGCTGGAAGTTGAACCTCCGCCCCAGTCTCAACTCTTTTGCAGACTCTAACAGGTTTTCTTCTAAGATTGCCCTGTATATTTGGCTCCATCCATCTTCCCATCAACTCTGACCAGCTTCCCTGTCCCTGCTGAAGAAAACCATCCCCACCACATGATGCTGCCACCACCATGTTTCACGGTGGGGATGGTGTGTTCAGGGTGATGTGCAGTGTTAGTTTTCCGCCACACATAGCATTTTGCTTTTAGGCCAAAAACTTCAACTTTGGTCTCATCTGAGCAGAGCCCCTTCTTCCACATGTTTGCTGTGTCCCCCACATGGCTTCTCACAAACTGCCAATGGGACTTCTTATAGCTTTCTTTCAACAATGGCTTTCTTCTTGCCACTCTTCCATAAAGGCCAGATTTGTAGAGTGCATGACTAATAGTTGTCCTGTGGACAGATTCTCCCTCCTGAGCTGTGGATCTCTGCAGATTTATTGGTCACAAATGTTGAAAACCATTTCTCATTTTCCTTCCACTTTACAATTATGTGCCACTTTGTGTTGGTCACATCAAATCCCAATAAAATAAATTTTTGTTTTGGTTGTAACATGGGGAACATTTTAAGGGGTATGAATACTTTTTCAAGGCGCTGTATATTGTATCTAAGTTTTTCTATTTATCTACAACCTGGATTACAATCAAACAAATAGTACACGTAGCATAAAGAGAATTGCAAGGGTACATGTGAGGCCTCATACACACTGGATGTTTTTATAGCTGCTCCTAGCCATCTGGCGTATTTTTACTGCTTATCTCTAAATCTTTTTGCATGCTAGCCTATGTCTCCATTCATACATGAACTTTTAGGGCCAGTTCACACCACATGCAGTCCAGTGCGTTTTTTTCTTTTCTGCACCAAACACATGGATAGTAGGTTACATGGTTTCCAATGGCATAGCTCACACCAGTGCAGGTCAGTTCCAGTGCGTAACAGCTCCAAAAAAAAAAAAGTAGAGCATGCTGCATTTTTTTGCACTGAACTGTACTGGAATGCAGTAAAGCATATTAAAAATGCACCATAAACGCACTGGAAAGCATCTAAATGCACTAAAAATGCACTGGAATGCACATGTTCTTATTTAGGTTGAAGAAAAAGAGGGGGAAAAATGAACTGGAACGCATCAAAAATGCACCGGAATGCAAAAAATATACACATACAGAAACACATCCACACTGTATTTTTATGGTGTGAACTGACCCTTAGGGCCAGTTTACACCAAATGCAGTCCAGTGCAATTTTTTCTGTACCAAAACGCATAGATAGTAGGTTACATGGTTTCCAATGTTCTAGTTCACACCAGGGCAGTCAGTTCCACTGCTCCAGAAAAAAAAGTAGAACAGGTTGGATTTTTTCTGCGCTGAGCTGTACTGGAACACAGTAAAACACATTAAAATGCACCATAAATGCACTAGAACACACCTAAATGCACTAAAAATGCACTGGAACGCACATGTCCCTATGTAAGTTGAAGAAAAGGAGGGGAAAATGAACTGGAACGCATAAAAAATGCATCAAAAACACATCAAAAACGTGCATACAGAAACGCGTCCGGAACGCATCCGGACTGCGTTTTTATGGTGTGAACCGGCCCTAAGTGCCCGGTCACATACCAGAGTGATTTGGGAATTGAAATCGCATCTAATGAATGTGAAGGTCAGTGTCTTAACATGCGATTTGCTGCAGCGTGATTCCTAAAGGTGCTTTTACGTGACTTTTCTGCAGTTTTCTTGCAATTTCACATACATAGAATACAATGGAAATCACACTGAAAACTGCAAGAAATCATTGAAAATCTTCACAAGTAGCAATAAAGTCTTCAGAAATCGTGCTGAAATGCCACACAAGTTACGCGAATTTAAATTGCAGCGGAGTGACCGGTGACTTAGGGCCAGTTTACACCACAAAAATGCACTCTGGTTGCGTTTCGGATATGTTTTTGCTTACATTTCACACCACACTTCATTCCGGTGCATTTTTACTGCATTTTGCTGCGTTCCAGTACAGTTCTGTGCAGAAAAAAAGCAGCCTGTTCTACTTTTGTCTTTCTGCACTGGAAACTGGAACTGATTGCACTGGTGTGAACTGGGGGGGGGGGGGGACGCACTGGACTGCATCTGGTCTGAATCAAGCATTTAGTAGCAGGAGAGTTCAGAGGCAGGGAAATAGAAACAGCTGCCAGTGCGTCCAGGAGCAGCGGCGCTTTGGGAGAAAAAATGACTGACGCGTGTTAATGCGCGTAAAGGTGTCTAATTGTGCGACAACGCTAGGCGTGTTTAGCGATTGAGTGTTAATTCATTTCAATTGCTAGAATAATTTTTTATTTTATTTTTTTTTTTAAATTAATGAATGCCCAAATGCTTAACCTCCCTAGCGGTCTGATTATGTCAGTATTTCTGTGCTCAAAGCGGTACATTTTTTTGCATGGAAATATGTATTTTTTTTTATTGTCGGCCTGTAATTTTTAGGAAAAACTCACTGAAATCTGTCCAAACAAGAGTCTAGTAAACATCCCGGGGATGATAAAACTTGAAACAGAAAATCATAAATTATAATTTAATAAATAATCATAAAAAATAATAATAATAAATTTAATTCAATAATATAATCAAACCAAAAACACTGTAATGTGAAATATAGCGCCAAGTTCGCACATCGCTGAGCAAAGTCGCAGAATCGTTTTCAGTGTCTGATGAGGAATTTCCCCCACGAATCATTATCACTCAAATCTGCAAGTGGTTCTGATTTACTATCGCTGTTCTCTAGCCGGTCTAAAACCGCTTTTGACCTAAAGGGACGCTTTTTGGACGCCATGGACGTTTCTCAGTTTCTAGACAGAAAGAACAGTAAAAATGCAGGCAGGGCGCCGGACAAAGCACTCGGGACAAAATGTATGTGAAATGGTTTGATACAGGAATGGAATACTATGTGATTTTAGCGAATGTCACTTTTTATCATTTTCAAATTTCCCGCTGTTCCGTCCCCCGTACATGCCGACACTCGCAGGGGACGGAACCCAGATGACAGATGCCGACATTCGCCGGATTACATTGCTGGGGACACTGCAGGGGGCACAACGCGGGAGCGCAGGACAAGGTAAGTGATTGAGGGATCCCGGAGCAACGCTGCAGTGTATTCCCGAGTGTAGCTCAGGGTTACCACTTGTGGTGCTGAAACTTTACCCCGAGCTACACTCGGGAATACCGCCAGGGAGGCTACAGCAGGTAAACACAGCGAAACACGTTAGCACTTTTACAAGCGTCAGTTTTTTTGCCAAAATGCTGCTGCCAGGAGGAGGCTTCCAGGAGAAAAAAAACTTCCAGTATGCATGAGGCCTAAATATTAACTAGGGCAGCCATTCTCAACATGGGTTTCCCCCGCAGGTGCTAGGGCTTCCTTAGGCAATGAGCAATTTCTGCCTCCCAAATCAGAAGCCACTGAACCCAAAGATGGTTTTAGTTATCTGTAAGTAGGGAATTCTTCCTATTGACCACAAATACACATTGGTGAGATCCCACTCCTGCACACTCATTGGTCAATTGTATACTGAGTGGTGTCAATCATCCACAATGGCCTTACCCAGTGGTGTGTTTTAGTTTACTGCTGCCCTAGGCAAGACTAAAATCAGGCGGCCCCCCCTCAACTAAATTTGCCCCACCCCTTCCTGTTTAAGATCCACCCTTTCATTTGTAAACTCCACTCTTTCCGTGTTAGGTTCCACCTCTTCCTATTAGAGCGCCACCTCAGGAGAAGGTCAGAGACTGCAGACAGGATACAGGAGAAGGTCAGAGACTGCAGACATACTACAGAAGACGGTCAGAGACTGCTGATTTATTACAGGAGAAGTTGAGAGACTGCAGACAGGATACAGGATAAGGTCAGAGACTGCACACAGGATATAGAAGATGGTCAGAGATTGCGGACAGGATACAGAACATGGTCAGAGACTACAGATGGAATACAGGAGACGGTCAGAGACTGCGGACAGGATATAGGAGATGGTCAGAGACTGCAGACATGATACAGGAGATGGTCAGAGACTGTGGACAGGAGACAAGAAAAGGTCAGAGACTGCAGACAGGATAAAGGAGACGGTCAGAGACTGCGGACAGGATAAAGGAGACGGTCAGAGACTGCGAACAGGATACAGGAGTAGGTCAAAGACTACA